GGCTGGTAGTTTCGAACCGCTGACCTTAAGGTTCGCAGCCCGATTCGTAACCACTACGCTACCAGAGCTCCTTAGGTATATATAAAGCAGTGTTTAGATATATATATATATATAAATATGCATCTCTAAGCAGTGCTTTTGCTTTGTCCCAAAGATTTTGGTATGTTGTATTTTCATTCTCATTTGATTCAAGGACATTTTTTAATTTCATGTTTCGCTTGTTCTATTACCCAGTAACTCTGAAGCAGCGTGTTATTCAGTTTCCATGTAGTCGATTTTGTTTCTTTGCTTTTGTTTTTTAATTTTTTAAAAATTTTACAGCATTGAGGTCTGAGAAGATGGTTTTGAGTATTTTGGTGTTTTAAAATGTATTGGGGCTTGCTTTGTGGCCTAACATATGGTTTATTCTAGAGACTGTTCCAAGTGCACTGGAGAAGAATGTCTTTTATGCTGGTGTTGGATGACATTTGATTTCATGACTGCTGCTTCCATGAGTACTGACACTGGATCCAAGCAAATGAATGAAGTCTTTGACAACTTCAGTCTTCTCTCCATTTATCATGATGTTATCTGTTGGTCCAGTGAGGAGGATTTTTGTCTTCTTTACATTGAGATGCAACCCATACTGAACCCTGTGATCTTTAACTATCATCAGTAAGTAGTTTAAGTCCTCTTTGCTTTCAACAAGCAAGGTCACATCATCTGCATATCACAGGTTGTTAATGAGTCTTCCTCCAATCCTGATATCATGTTCATCTTCATATAATCTGGCTTCTTAGATTATTTGCTCATCCTATAGACTGAATAAGTGTGATGAAGGAATACAACTCTGGGGCACACCTTTACTGATTTAAAACATACAGTGCTCCCTTGTTCTGTTTGAATGAATGCCTCTTGGTCTATGTACAGGTTCCTCATGAGCACAATTAAGTGTTCTCGAATACTCATTCTCTGCAATGTTGTCCATAGCCTGTCGTGATCCACAGTCGAAAGCCTCTACATAGTCAATAAAGCACAGGAAACCATCTTTCTGGCATCTCTGCTTTCAGCCAAGATCCATCTGACATCAGCAATGATAGCCCTCATCAATGTCCTCTTCTGAATCTGGCTTGAACCTCTAGGAGTTCCATGTCAATGTATATTTGCTACCATTTTTAAATTATCTTTAGGAGACCTTTACTTGAATGTGATATAAATGATACTGTCCAATGATTTTCACATTCTCCTGGGTCACCTGTCTTTGGAATGGGCATAAATACAGATCGCTTCCAATCAGTTGGCCAGGTAGCTCTCTCTGACAAATTTTTTTGGCATAGATGAGTGAGTGTCTCCAGTGCTGCATCTGTTTGTTGAAAGATTTCAATTTGTATTTCATCAATTCCCAGTGCCTTGTTTTTAGCCAATGCCTTCAGTGCACCTTGGACTTCTTCCTTCAGTACCATTGGCTCTTGAGCATATGTTACCTCTTGAAATGGCTGAACGTTGAACATTTCTTTTTGGGTACGGTGACCCTGTGTAATCTCTGTGCTCTAACAGATTTGACTTCTGGATCCATCAGTGTGCCTATCACTCGGCCGCCATCAAAAGGAGGGGCTAATGCTGAGTCCTGCTGGTATCTCTCCAGGGTGCTGGAACTCAGCAAGAGGGACGTGGTTTCAGATAAGAGTGGTAAGTCTTGTGAAAAGGTGGTGACGAGTTTGCCCTCCACAGCTCCAGAAGAGATCCAGGACAACTTATAAAAGGAAGCCGAAAATAAATAGAGGCAAGAAATGGAAAATAGATCCTTGAGAAACTTTTTTTTCAATTGCTAAGAATACGGAGGCTGTTAAATAGATGTATTTAAATGCATACAAAAAAAGCAAGGATGTATTTTTTAAAATAAATATTCACAAGCAAAAAATATCCAAAAACAAAGAATCATTTCAAAAAGCACTGTTGAATATTAAATTCCTGTTTGTTTTAATTCTGACCCAAACCAGCTTGGGGTATGTTAGTTTGATTTCACTGCATTACAAAATAACAGCTGGACAAGGTAGTTCCAACAGCCTGACTTAATGCCTTCTGTCTTGTGGCAGCATTTCTCCCATCCAGAGGTTCACACTGTACAACACAGGCTCAGAGCCTAGATCCCCTGATTCCTAATGGAATACAGTCTATCCTGATTGTAAATTAAAATAACTTAAAAAAAAAATGCTACTGTGGTAAAATGTACATAACAAAATGACTGTCTGGCTGTTACGTGAACCATATTTAGGTGAATAGTGGTAGGGCAGTGGTTAATGGCTTGGGTGCTGTGTTAAGCTGGGCTTTCTAGAGAAGCAAAACCAGAAACATATATATGTATATAGAGAGAAATCTATAATCTTACACTTATAGAGTCCCAGGTCTGCAGTGGAAGAGAGAGAGAGTCCCTTCCATGTGTCCATTATATTGGGAGCAAGCCACACCCCCAAGGAAGCATCCCTTTCGCTGATTGGCTGCTCACAGCCATTCACTATGGAGCTAACTCTGCCTGTATTAGGCTTCATCACCATGGGAATAAGCACATCTCAACTGCTACACCTCTGGAAATCCTGGTTTAGTCGAGTTGACACAGAACCCTACCCAGTACAGCTGCTAACCAAAAGGTCAATGGTTTGAACACACCAGCAGCTCAACAGGAGAAAGGTGAGGTGGTCTGCTTCCATAAAGATTTACAGGCCTTGGAAGCCCTATGGGGCCAGTCTACTGTGCCTTCCTCAATGGAAGTGGGTTTGGTTCTTTGGTTTGGTATTACACTGCCCATATGACGTGTCAAAAGTCACCCTCCCCAGGCCTTGCCCAACCAGCTTCCCCAGGAAGTGACTCACCTGCATTCCGGGAAACCAGCAAGCTGTTCTCAAACCAAAAGACCAGAATGCCTGTCTGACCGGGGGCGGTGTGGACATTAAGTGTCCCGTTGTAGTCAAAGGGCAGCCCAAAGCTTCTGTTGAGGGGATGCTCTGAGTATGCGAACTTGGCCTGAGAGAAAAAACTAGTGACCTTACAGAGCTCGTTGTAGGACGGCCCGACACTGGGAAGGAACATCCTTCATTATTCACACTAGATCTACTCCTTGGGTCTCACCAGAAACGATTCCGCCACCAGGGGACCCTGGACCATGTCTGGGGACATGTGTGGTTGTCACGATGGGTGTGTTGCTACTGGCATTGGGTGGGTGGAGGTCTGGGATGCTGTTTGACACTGTATGTGCTCAGGGCAGGCAGCCCCCCTCCACAGGGGAACCCCCCTCCCCAACTCCAGACACAAGGGGAAGTAACAGGAGTTAATTTCCTTTGGGTTAGTCTCTCTCTTTTCTCCACTCCACCTGCCCACATTCCAGATTCTTTTCCTAACAACTGTTTTTTGGTTATTTGGTGCTTTTTTTTTTTTTTAACACTGCTTCTCTCTAAGGCTGTCTGTTGTATCAAGCCTGAATTGCTCTGTGTGCTTTTCAAAGTGCTCTCTTTTCTGTGTGTCATGAGAGACATCAGGAAGACCCCTGCGTCCTTCATACTGCACTACGTATAGGTTGTTTTTGTTGTTAGGTGTCATTAAATCAGTACTGACTCATAGCGACTCTATGAATAACAGAATGAAACCCTACCTAATCCTGCTCCTGAGCCCATTGCTGCTTTAACTGTGCCAATCCAACTTTTGGGGGATTTTCCTCTTGTTCACTGACCCTCCACTTTACCAAGCATGATGTCCTTCTCCAGGGACTGGTCTCTCCTGATAACATGTGTAAAATGTGAGAAACCAAGTCTGGCCATCCTGGCTCCTAAGGAGTTTTATGGATGTATTTCTTTCAACATACATTTGTTTATTCTTCTGGCAGTCCATGGCACTTTCAAAATTCTCTTCAAACACCATTAACTCAAATGCAACTTTCACATGCATATGAGGTTATTAAAAATAGCATGGCTTGGGTCAAGTGCATCTTAGTCCTCAAACTGACATCTTTGCTTCTCAACACTTTAAAAGGTCTTGTGCAGTGGATTTGCTTAATGCAATACATTGTTTGATTTCTTGACTGCTGCTTCCATGAGTGTTGATAGTTGATCCTAGAAGAATGAAGTCCTTGACAACTCCAGTTTTTTCTCCATTGGTAAGAATGTTGTTTATTGGTCCAGTGGCGAGGATTTTTGTTTTCCTCACAACAAGGTGTACCAATACCAAAGTCTGTGGTCTTTGATCTTCAACAATATTTTAAATCCTCTTCACTTTCAGCAAGGTTGTATCATCTGCATATCGCAGGTTGTTAATAATGAGCCTTCTTCTAATCCTGATGCCATGTTCTTCTTCATATAATGCAACTTCTCAGATTATTTGTTTAGCATATAGACTGAATAAGTATGGTGAAAGAATACAACTCTGGTGCACACCTTTACTGATTTAAACCATTCAGTGTTCCCTTGGTCTGTTTGAACAACTGCCTCTTGGTCAATGAAAAGATTCCTCATGAACACAATTAAGTGTTCCAGAATACTCATTCTCCACAATGTTGTCCATAACTTGACATGATCTACATAGTCAAAAGCCTTTGCATAGTCAATAAAGCACAGGTAAACATCTTTCTGACATTCTCTGCTTTCAGCCAAGGTCCATCTGATGTCAGCAATGATATCCCTCATGCCATGTCCATATCTGAATCCAGACTGAAACTCTGGGAGTTCTCTGTTAGCGTACTGTTGCAGTCTTTTAAATTGTTTTACTTGCATGTGCTATTAATGATACTGTCCAATGACTTCTGCATTTTGTTAGATCACCTGTCTTTAGAATGGGCACAAATATGGATCTCTTCAAATCCATTGGCCAGGTAGTTGTCTTCCAAATTTCTTGGCATAGATGAGTGAGTGTTTCCCGTGCTGCATTAGTTTGTTGAAAGATTTCAATCTGTAGTCCATCAATTCCCGGTGTTTTGCTCTTTGCCAATGCCTTCGCTGCACCTTGGATTTCTTCGTACCATTGGCTCTTGAGCACGTTACCTCTTGAAATAGCTGAACATCAAACATTTCTTTTTGGTACAGTGACTCTGTGCTTTTCTTCCTTTTTTTTTTCTTATGTTTTCTACGTCATTCAATATTTTGCCCACAGAATCCTCTGATATTGAAAGTTGAGGTGTGAAATTTTTCTTCAGTTCTTTCAGCTTGAGAGATGCTGAGTGTGGTTTTGTAACTCCAGATCTTTGCACATTTCATTATAATATTTGACATTGTCCTTTCGAGCTGACCTTTAAAACTTTCTGTTCATCTCTCTTACCTCCTCATTTCTTCCATTTTGCTTTAGCATTTCTAGGCTGGAGAGCAATTTCAGAGTCTCTTCTGACATCCATTTTAGTCTTTTCCTTCTTTCTTGCCTTCTCAATGACATTTTGCTTTCTTCCTGTATGATGTTCTTGATGTCAGCCCACAAGTCTTTTGGTCTTAGGACATTAGAGTCTAACGCATCAAATCTGCACTTCAGATGATCTCTAAATTCTGGTGGGATATGGTCAAGGTCATATTTTAGCTCCCGTGGACCTGTTTAAACTTGCTTCAGCTTCAACCTAAACTTGCATATGAGTAATTGATGGTCTGTTCCAGTCTGTCCCTGGCCTTGCTTTCGCTGATGATATGGAGCTTTTCCACCATTTCTTTCCACAATGCAGTCAATTTGATTTCTGTGTAGTCTATCTGGTGAGGTCCATGTGTATGTTGTTGTTGTTATGTGCCATCAAGTCAATTCCGACCCATAGTGACCCTGTATAGGGTTTCCACAGAGCAGCTGGTGAGCTTGAACCACCGGTCTTTCAGTTCAAATGACTTTGCAGTCTGACGCATTAGCCCACAACCATGTATATCTTTTATGTTGTTTTAAAAAGGTATTTACTGTGAAGAAGTCATTGGTCTTGCTAAATTCTATCAGCATAGTTTCTGTCACCAAAAGCCATATTTTCTAACTACTGACCCTTCCTCTTTGTTTCCAACCTTTGCATTGCAATCACCAGTGATTATCAATACATCTTGATTGCATGTTTGATCCATTTCAGAATAAATAAGTTGGTAGAATTCTTCAACTTCATCCTCACTGGCTTTAATGGTTGATGTGCAAATTTGAGTAATAGTGGTATTAACTGGTTTTCCTTGTTGTTACCTATCTATATATCTATCACAGATTGTCTATCACAGACAGCATTGTACTTCAAGGTAGAGCTTAGAAAGTTCTTCTTCTGATGAAGGCAGCATTTTTCCTCTTTAATTTACCATTCCCAGCATAGTAAACACGTAATTGTCAGATTCAAAGTCCATTTCAGCTGACTAATGTCTAGGATTTCGATGTTTATACATTCCATTTCATTTTTGACAACTTCCAGTTTTCCTAGATTTGTATTTCATTGTTCCATGTTCTGATTATTAACGGATGTTTACAGCTGTTTCTCTTCATTGTAAGTGTGTCTCATCAGCAAATGAAGGTCCCAAAAGCTTTACTGCATTCGCATCACCACGATCAGCTCTACTCTGAGGAGGCAGCTCTTCCCCAGTCATATTTTGAGTGTCTTCCAACCTGAGGGGCTCATCTTCCAGCACGCTATCTGACAACATTATGTTATTCTTCATCATGTGTCGATAGTCAATATTCTGGTGCTATCTGACAGTGTTTCACTGCTATTCATAAAGTTTTCAGTGACTAAATATTCAGAAGTAGTCTGTCTCTCCTTTTTCCGAGTCTGTCTTTGTCTGGAAGCTCATCAGAAACCTGTCTACTATGACTGACCCTGCTGGTATTTAAAATACCCATAGCTTCCAGAATCACAGCAACATGCAAGCCACCACTGTATAATAAATTTTGTTTCCTATCTATGTGGTTAAATGGGCGGGTGGAAGAATGGATGCACGGTGCATGCAGGGGAGAATAGGAGGTCAGGTGGGTGGGTGGATGGACTGATGGGTACATCAATGGTGCCTTCATTTCCTCGTGTCTTATCACAAAAATGCCTGGTGATACGAAAGGAGGAAACGAAGGCTCAGCAAACAAATTGATTTCCTCTCATTTGCGAGCCTGGCAGTCTCTCTAGGGGAAGGCTCTCTCTCTGTGGGCTCTGGAGAAGGTCCTTACCTCTTCTGAGTTTCTGCCCCTGGGAGATCTCTATGGGGACTTGGCATCTCTCTTCTCCTACCCTGCTTTCCTGGTTTGCTTGTTTCACCTCTTTTATATCTCAAAAGAGACTGACTCAGACATGCCCTACACTCATCCTACGTTATCGTCGTAACAAAGACCACCCATTCCCAGGTGAGGAGATAACCACAGAGAGAAGGTTAGGGTTCACACCACATATTTGGGGGGAGGAGGGACATCATTCAACCCCTAGCAGATTGTTGTTGTTGTTAAGTGCCATCAAGTCAGTTCCGACTCACAGCAACCCTGCATAGGGTCTTCATGGAGCTGCTGGTGGGTTTGAACTGCTGACCTTGTGGTTCACAGTCCAGTGCTGATGCTACAGCGCCACACCAGGAGTCCATAACACACAGATAGGTAAACAAAAAGCTAGAGGATTCCTCAGATATGAAAAGCTAAGTATGTGAGTTTTCATAAAAACTTGGGTTTAGGCAAAGGACAGTTAAGTATTACTTTCCGGTCTAAGAGAACTTACTTTCTTCCCATCAACTACAAGCAGTCCGGTCTGTGACAGCGAGTGAAAAGAGAAGATCCCACCCACAAAACCAACTAATTCTTCCTGTGAAGCGAACAGAAAGCATAGTGTATAAGCAAGCGAGAGACCTTCAAAACTTATAGACACTGATTTGGCTTCTAAGTTTCAGTTCATGTAGAACGAAGGGAAGTGGGTGTTTAATCATCAGTTTCTCCTCTAGGGAAATACAGTACATCTAGAGCAACAACCTGAGGGAGGACAGCCCTGTTGTCTTGGGGGCTTCGAGGAGGTGGTGTGACCCAGAACTTCAGGACTTCAGAACAGGGTAGATATTCTCTGAGTCAGAAAGAAGCTTTCTCACCCTCTTATTGACCTGAGGCTCCTGATCTCTCTTTCTCGGTTTGAGCTGTGTGATTTTTGCAAAGGCCTGTACCTCTCTGAGCCTCCCTCCCTGTATTAGTGTCTGGGGGCTACCCCAAAAATGGGTGGCTTAAAACAATCAGGGGCACACTCCCTCCTCTCACGGTGCCAGGGGAGGATCGTTTCTGGCCACGCCTAACTTCTGATGGCTGCTGGTAGTCTGTGGCGTTCCTTAATTTGTACACATACCCCTCCAATTCCTGTCTCCATCATTGCATGGCTGTGTCCCTCTGTATGTTTCTATGTGCCCTCGCCTTCTCATGAAGTAGCAGACATTGGATTTAGGGCCCATATAAACCCAATATGAACTTTTGTGAACTGATTATATTTGCAAGAACCCTAGTTTCCAAGAAGGCTACATTCTGAGGCTCTGGTCAGACAGGATGTTTGGTGGATAGACTTATTTGAACCCACTAGAGTCCCCTCATCTGTAAAATGGGGTGATGATAGTTACGGATTCCATCACATCTACTCATGGAAGTCTTAAACCTGGTGTCTGTGTAGGTGATCTTGTTTGGAAATAGGGTCTTTGAAGATGTTTATCAATTAAGTCCACAAGAAGATATATTACAGGGGAGTGTGGGCCCTAATCCAATGAGCCCATTCCAACTCCTAGAGACCCAACAGGACTAAGCAGAACTGCTCCCTAGGGTTTCCAAGCCTGGAATGTTTACAAAAGAAGACTGCTACATCTGTCTCCCAGCGAGTTTGAACCGCTGACCTTTCGGTTAGCAGTGGAGTGTTTAATGAATGCTCCGCCTCCTCACGAGCTCTCCATAAAGACTGAGTTGGGCTGACCTGGAGCCATTCACTTCCTGTGTAGCTCCCTGGGCCTTTTATCCAACTCCTTTGACCTGGAATTTTTTTCTGATCTCTTAAAGAAGCAATAGTTCCAGTTTGCCCATCAACGACTAAGTACCGCTACCACGCAGTACAGATGTGCTTAATTTCACTTTCTCACCGAATTTAACATACCTTACTGTCAAAGTTAAACTTTTGGAATTTGTATCCCAAGTTTTCTGAGAAGTATATGTTAGCCTGAGATGCCACATCTCCATACAAATAGGCAAAAATGTAATTACTTATATCCTGGGGGAAAAAAACACATAAAACATTCAAATTAAAAGAAGACAGGTACAGGCGCTCAGGAAGGTACACGTTCATCACATCATTATTCACAATGGTCCAAAGGTGCCAACAACCCAATGTCCATCAACAGGAATGGAGACACACGGTGGGCTGCACCTTGGCAATGCCCTGTCACTCAGTCATACAGAGGAACGAAGTCCTGGCAGGTTCTTCGACATGGATGAATCCTGGAAGCATGATGCTAAGTACAAGAAGGCAGACACGGAAGAGCAAATATTGTATGCTCCCATGTATATGAAATCATCTGAAACAGGCAAATGCCCAGAGATAAGAATTTGATTAGTGGTGACCAGGGGGTGAGGGGAATGGGAGAGTGTTGCTTAAGGGGGGCTAGATTACTGTTTGTTGTTGTTGTTAAGTGTCATCGAGTCAGTTCTGACTCAGAGTGACCCTGAGGTTTCCAAATGTTAAGTCTTTGTGGGAACAGAGAGCCTTATCTTTCTCCCACAGGGCGGCTGGTGGGCTCAAACTGCCAACTTGGTGGTTCGCAGTCCAGTGCTTATCCTACAGAGCCACCGCACTTCCAAGTTGCTGTTTTGCTGTCATTGTTAAGTGCTGTCTAGTCAGTTTCGACTCATAGAAACCTTGCATAAGGTTTCCGAGGAGCACAGAGCTTGCAGTCCAGTGTATTATCCTGCAGTGCCCCACCAGGACTCCAAGTTGCTGCTTGCAGGGGGAGAGGTGAAAGACATTGGGGGAAGGATGGTGGTCGTGGTTTTACAACATGACAGATGTCATTAGTGCCACTGAAATATGTACCGAAGAATGGTTGAAATGAAAAAGGTTTTGTCACATACAGCCTAGGACAATTTTTTTTAAATACGAAGACGATCGATGCCAGCAATCACATTCTGGGGCATAGATGCCAGTTAACTGAAAACATGTGCACACAAAAACCTCCATATGAATGTTCACAGAAGCTTTATAGATAATCGCCCCCACATAGAAACAACCAAAATGCGGCATGGCGCATCGACACCATGGAATACACTACTGTTCCCAAGAAAACATGCAATACAGAGGAACAAACCACCCAGACGCCAAAACCCTGGATACATCTCTGGTGAATGATGCTGAGTGAGAACAAAATAAAGCCAAACGTGAAATTATTCCATTGACGTAACATTCTTGAAGTGATAAAACAACACTGTGTGTGTCTGCTTCTATGCAACTTGTCCCACATGTAGGTTCCGGTAATTGCACTGCCGTCCAGACATGGCTATGTCCTCCAATCACCTGCTGTCACAGAAACGCACAGGACAGAAGCTTTCCTAGGTTGCGCTGCTGACATCGTGGGTTGTGTGTTGGGCTGTTAACTGCAAGGTCAGTGGTTCAAACCCACCAGCTGCTTGCGTCATGGGAGACAGATGAAGCTGTTTGCTCCCATAAAGATTTACAGTCTCAGAAAACCTAAGCAGTAGTCCCTACTGTGTCCTAGAGGGTTGCGATGAGTCAGGATTGACGTAATGGCAATGGGGTGCAATCTTTACCAAAGCAGACACCCAGGTCTTTCTCTGGCCGATCAGCTGATGGGGAACTGTCAACCTTTCGTCTAGCATCCAGCGCTTCACCACTGTGCCACCAGGGGTCCTTACAACACAGAGCCAGTCATGCTTTCAAGATAATATCTCAAATCATTTGTTTAAAACTAAGTTTTAAATGATTTTATTTTACTTCTAAATATTGTAAGGAGATAGTGGCTGCATTCCCAGTGTGCCAACCATGTGACCTGAAAAAAGGTCTCGAGCCCCCTCCCCATCTTAGGCTCACTCCTGAATGACCCCAAAACAATGCTATTTGCTGTTAAGCTGCCCTGAGCGATCACCACCACAGCCCTCAAAGCTTACTGGCTTGATTTTTATCCACAATGATCTGTGTTGGGAGTATGGTCAAAAAAGAAAGAAGAGAAGCTTACTTACGAAACAAATAGGATTCTCACTGTAACAACAATTATCACCAGTAATATGTGAAACGGGGTGGTCTATACCTAAAAGGAAAAAAAAATCATTTGAAAATACATATAACAAGTACCTGAAGTAATGAAAAAATACACGGCATGGATCCTCAGTCTCAGCACGACTGACATTTGGGCCTGGGACGTTCATGATTTTCTTTAAACTTTTTTGTTTTTTAGCCTTTTTTTTGTTCCCTTTTACTTTTATTTGGGTAGAAATCCGTTTTCATAATGCTACTGTATAAAATATACAAAATATATGCTATCTCAACAAGTTCTACATGTACAATGCAGGGATATCGGTCACATTTTTTGATCCCACTTTTTATTGAAGTACAGCCCACCGACGGGAAGCGGCCCGTCCAGGTGAGACTGTTTCTCTGGAGCTTGTTATCACGTTCCTCACTGTCCCCCTCACAGATGTGCTCACCGCGTACTTTTTTCTTTGCATCTTTGTTCCTGATAAAAAATCCGAGAGACACTACAAAAAGAAACACGCTCCAGTTGTAACCAGTTCCTCTGGGGCCCCCGAGTGAGACAGCAGGCACGAAAGGAGTTTAGTCTGACTTCAACTGGACCTCTGCCTGAAGACTCATACCCATGAACCAAAAGCCTCACACGTCAAAGAAAGAAAATTCCCCGGAACTGCGTCACCTGTCAATCAACTCAGACACCTTCCGATGTGAGGTGTCCGACAGCAACTTCCGTGCCCGGATGTGACCTTGCCCCTTACGAATAATGTATACTCACTTTCCAGAGATCCCATGAATATATATGACTCCCCTGACCTTGCAGGTTTAAATAAGCTCTGTGTTGTGTATTCTGTGCTCATACAACTTTAGTCCTGCTTGGTTAACCAGAATTGAAAGTTTCTACTCTTGCTTTCTTGCAAATTCAAATCCACCAGCTGCTGCTCCTTGGAAATCTGAAATAGGGTTGCTTTGAGTTGGAACTGACTTGCCAGCGCTTAACAACCACGACACTGTCACCATCAACCCAGGATGAGTGTGTTCTTCCAACTGGTAGAAACCTGGACAGGTGGACACAGAGGAGGAGCTCACACAGATATGTTGAGTACACGGACAGGAAGGTGCGCATATACACAGGCCACTGACTTTTCACCTACTGAAGGTACCTTACAAACACTGTGCAGATCAAGAAACTGAAGACTATCAGGATACACATTCAACCCCATCCCCGGCAGAGGTCTCTCTTCCTTTTCATCCTCCTGCCCAATTAATATTATTAATTGTGGCAAAATATGATGTGGCTTCAAAAAGCTCTTGGAAAAATGGAAATACAAGATGATGGAGTTTTTCCGTGAAGTCACCTCATATGTGAGTATATAACAAAACATTTGGTGTAGTACATGTGAATCCAGGGACATTAATTATAGTTCCCATGTTGTGTTACCGTTGTATCTACTCATTTCCAAATTGCTTTCATTACTCTTCACAGAAACAGGGTTAGAGCCTTTTCTAGGGTGAGGACCATTCCACACACTAGAGGGTGTATCGCAGCATGCCTAGCTTCCACCCACTCAATGCCAGCAGCACCCCTTCCTCCTGTTGTGACAACCACAAATGTCCCCAGACAGCACTCAGTGTCCCCCTGGGAGGCAAGACTGCCCCAGGGTTAGAGGAAACACTTCTAAACCCCACCAGCAGCCGGAAGAATGGGCTTTCTTCTCAGGGTTAGGCTATTCTGATTTTTTTTCTCTTTTTTTTAATTCCAAAACATCTTGAGATCCAATCTCACATCAAGGTAACTTGGTACACTTGGATGCTGCTGTTCCCATTTTAATCTTTCTTTTAAAAAAATCATGGTAAACTATACATACCATTTCCCATTTAATCAAAGCTTTGCGTGCATAATCCAATGGCAGTACATACATTCAGAATGTTTTGTAACTGTTACCACACTCTACAGGCTGACTTTGGAAACATCGCAGGCCCAGTTCCATACCGCCTCAGCAAAGCAAACAGCGCAACTCAAAAAAAAAAAGTTGACCCTAGACTGTAGTTTATGAAATATACAACAGTATTATGAAAAACTGTAAAATCATGTGATAATGAACACATGGAACATGGAGACTTGAAGTAAACACAAGCTGAAGAAGGGAAAATGGCACCAATCAGCTTGCTTGATACAGCATCACTCACCACAAACCTACAATTCGTAAAAACAACAACAACAAAAAAAAAAACCCCATGTCTGATAAGCACAATACTGCAAAGTGCATCAGATGAGGAAGACCCGGGTTTCTCCATCTTTTCTCATCATCCCATCCAGAAACAATAGCGCCCCACTCTCTCCTCACTGCAGGTCCTGGTAACCTAGACTCTACTTCCTGTCTCTATGAATCAGCCTAGTCTAGTGTTTTCCTGGAAGTGGGATCCTACACTGTTCGTCCTTTTGTGTCTAGCTTATTCCACTCAGTACAGTGTCTTCCAGCTCCATCTATGTCGAAGCACGTATCAGAACTTCAGAACACAATGAGATACCGTCGGGTCTTGCACCGTGCCCAGAATCAGCTGTGGGTCAAACCATTGTGACAGTGAGGGTTTTCTTTCTTTTTGCTGTTGTTGAGACTATGCACAGCGGAACACACCTTGACAGAGTCTAGATGTGCAGTTCCGGGACATTGGGTGCTTGCTCCTCTGTGACCTTCAGAGTTGCTGTTGTCAGTCTGATGCCACTGAGAGAGCTCTTGAAAGAGCATGATGCTCAAGGCAGACATTCTTTACTGGGTTAGCTGATCTACTGTTTGCTTTTAAGACTTGAGGTATTTTTGGTTGAAGGTTTCAAGATTGTCTCAGGGTAATAATCTTGGAGGTTCATCTACCCCCAAGGATTCTATGAGAATTTGAAATCCTGTCCTGCATTCCCACCTCCCTTTTTATATCAGATGAACCACCACTCACTGTCAGTTTGTCATACTATGGTAGTTTGTGTGTTGCTGGAAGCTAATGCCACCAGGATTTTAAAAGACCATCAGGGTCATCCGTGGGGGACAGACTGTGGCAGAGCTTTCAGGCTAAGCCAGACTAGGAAGAAAGAAAATCAGGACCACTTCTGAATGGCTAGCCACTGAAAACCTTATGGACACAGCAGAACAGTGTCAGATAGAGTGCCGGAAAATGAGCCTCTCAGGTTGCAAGGCACTCAAAATACACCTGGGGAAGAGCTGCCTCCTCAAAATAAAGTTGACCTTAATGCCGTAAACGGAGTAAAGCTTTCAGAACCTTCGTTTGCTGCTGGGGCACAACTCAAACTGAGAAGAAACAGTTGCAAACATCCATTTGTAATTGGAATGTGGAATCTAGGAAAATTGGAAGTTGTCGAAAATGAAATGGAACGGCATTAGTGAGCATCCCAGCAACACCCAAGTCATGGACAGTTGGGTGGCGGCTCTGCATGAGACTGGCCATCTGGGACAAGCACATGGCTGGCTTACTAGGCTGGGGAAGACAAACCGAAGAGGAATGGCATCGCATTCATCATCCAAAAGAGCAGCACATCAAGATCCGTCTTGAAGTACAATGCTGTCTGTGACAAGACACCATCCACACACCTACAAGAAAGACCCCGGCCCTTGTCTGTCAGTTTGTCGTACGGAGGTGGCTATGTGTTACTGCAATGCTGGAAGCTACACCACTAGTTATTTTAAATTTTCACCAATGACAGACAGGTTTCAGCAAAACTTCCAGACTAAGACAGACTAGGAATGAGGGCTATCATAACTGACGTCAGATGGAACACCACAAAGATGTTCACTTGTGATTGATGGACTATGCAAAGGCATTGGACTGTGTGGATCGTAACAAACTATGGATAACATTGCAAAGAACGGATATTCCAGAATGCCTCATTGTGTTCAAGAGGAACCTGTACATAGACCAAGAGGCATTAGTTTGAACAGAACAAGGGAACACTAAATAGTTTAAAATCAGGGTTGCATCTTTTTATTGTACTTATTCAATGGTGTAGCGCTGCAGGATTATCACTGGACGGCTAACCACAAGGTTGGCAGTTGAAACCCACCAGCTGCTCCTTGGAAACCCTATACAGGGTCGCTAAGAGTCAGAACTGATTTGAGAGCCTAACAAACAACAACAATTCAATCTATATGCTGAGCAAATAGTCTGAGAAACTGGGTTGTATGAAGAACATACATCAGGGTTAGAGGAAGACTCATTATAGCTGCAGGTGATATAACCCGGCTTGCTGGAGGTGAAGAAGACTTGAAGATCAAAGACTACAGCCTTCAGTGAGGATTGCATCTCAGTGTAAAGAAACAATAAACCTTACAACTGTACCAACAAATAACATCACGATAAACAGAGAAAACAATTGAAATTGTCAAAGACCTCATTCTGCTTGACTCCACAATCAACACTCATTGTTGCAGTCAAGAAATCAAAAGATGTCTTTGTAGTGTCATGAATGTCTCGTCGCCTTAGTCTTTGTAAACTTAACCAAACTACCTTTTTTCCTTATCGATCTAGGAGAAGATACTGCTAGGACGACAAGATGCAGCTATGGATGTTAACAGACTTAGTTGCAATTGTAAAAACTTGAAACTCTAGAATGGGTATAAAATGAGCCTTCTCAGGAGGAGAGAGGAATCTCACTACCATCAAAGAAGAAGAGTCCGGAGTAGAGGGCATCCTTTAGACCCCAAGACCCCTACACACTGGACCTCCTCAACCCAGGGACAGAAAACTGAGACCAGAGAAGCAGCATCGGAGCAGCAGCAGCAGAACCAAGAACCAGAGCATGAACCAGTGTAGTGGGCTCCCTGGCCCACCGAGCTAGTCCAGCTGAGTGACTCCGGGCAGAAGGCTTGCTTGCAGAGTGGGCTGCCTCCAGGCACTTAGATGTGGGGGCTAGGTTCGCAGACCCAAGGAGCTAGAGCTGACCGAGTGCCTTCATGCTGGGGATTAAGGTGGAGCAAAGGCTTTTGATTGTGTGGATCATGACAAGCTATGGACAACATTGAGAAGTATGAGTATTCCAGAACACTTAATTGTACTTCTAAGAAAT